GAGTGTGGGTTCAATGACTGATGAGCATGGACACCAGAGGCCAGTGGCTTTCTTGGCATACAGGTACGTCAAAAACCTTTTTAGCATCTCAACAAGCTGCAGCCAAAGCAAGGAGCCAGAGGGTCAAATTGATGAATGCATAGCTAATGTAAGCACATTTGTTTTTCAGAGTAAATGGCCAGTACATCATGGAAGGACTGGCTTCCAGTTTCCTCTTCACGATGGGGGGCCTGGGCTTTATAATCCTGGACCGCTCCAACGCACCAAACATTCCCAAACTCAACCGCTTCCTGTTGCTCTTCATCGGGTTTGTCAGCGTTCTGCTCAGCTTCTTCATGGCCAGGGTGTTCATGCGCATGAAGCTGCCGTAAGTCTAACCTTGTGTCTCATGAAAAATAAAGATCTGTGTCTAATGGCACATTTCCACTGCAGCGGGGTAGCCCGTTTAAGCGTCCTCGCTCAGGCCTCGGGCTGCCTCGCTGGCCGTCCGAGGCCGTGGGGCATTTCCATTACAGTTTAGGACCTGGGGTAGCAACGCAGTGTAGGCGGGGCTCCCGTTGAGCTCCCGCTGGATTTTATCATCCCCAATGAGATATAGGAACGTCTCCACCACCTCGGTCGACCAAGGTGTGCTTTTCTTTGACGTTGCCATTTTTGTAGCTCCTCCGTTTACAAAAATGCTGTAAGCTTGCTTCTAGATATATATATATATATGCGACGCTAGGGATGATCTCGCGCGCGATCTTGTGACGATTGTCTCTGACCAATCAGCAGTCGAGAGTGTTGACGTCACTAGTTCAGCCCTGGCCGTGGCCTGATAGGACCACGATTTTATGGGGCCGGAAAAAGTAGCCGCTAGCCGGTGCTACGCTACATGGAAAGGCCACCAAAAACTGGCCTGGCCGCTTGAGGACGATTAAGGACGCTTAAACTGGGCTACTCGCTGCAGTGGAAATGCGCCATAAGAAGCCTGCAAGACTACTACTCTGATTTATGTGAAAGTGTCTTAACCATTTAATATGTTGTCTTTTCAGAGGATACCTCATGGGCTAAAGACAAGAAGAGACCTTGATTTGGATGGACAGAAGACATCAAATGCACGGGGGCTCAACGCAACATTTGATATAATCAACAACCTTTAAGGACTGAAAGCACTGAACTTTCTGCACTGGCTCTGTCTCATTGCTGTTTAGCGACTTTCTTTCCTCTCCTTTTCCCCACCAAAAATCTAATGCAGGACAGTACTTCCATGTTAAAGTCACATTATTAAGAAAAATGTTGTCATGTATTCAAACTTCTTCCTAAAAGAAGCTACACGTGCCAGGGAACGTTTCTGTTTGCCACTGGAGAGGAGAAAGTTACTGAACACTGTTGGCATGGAGCCACTGCTCTGGAAATTAGAGGGAAGTCTGAATGATTTAAGTTTTTCGTTTTGTAAAGAACAAGTGGAAAAAGCCTTGAACTTGTAACAGTTGCATTTTTTTGTACAAGGGTGTGAAATAAAACATATTTTCAGAGCTCCTTGAGGCTGTCATTTACACACTATCACAAACACGAAACAAAACATAGAACTTTACTGAAGGCCAGGCAAGACCTGTGCCAGCTATTGCCCTAAATAAGAGATTGCTTAACACAAATCCAAAACTGAATTAATACAACATTTTTAATAAAATATAAATATATAAAGTACATCTTATCTTATAAGTATTAATTCTAACACTAGTGCCTAAAAGAACAGCTATAAGAGTAAGGTACATTTACTAAAATAGAAACATTAAATGTGTACGTATCAAAAGCTACACTGAGAAAAGGTCAATTTATAAGACAGGAAATAGCATATCCTCTTAAGATTTGAGCCACACAAGCATTGTAGTTTGTCCTCCAGTAGGTGGCGTCATAGATCTACAGACCTCACATTATGAGCCTTTTGACATGATTATCCATCTTGAGTGAAAAGGATTGGAGGGTTTAAAAGAATGCCAGAGCAAGGATAAAAAGAAATGCAGTTGCTGATACTCAAGTATTGTATTTCCATTTAATTATACTTTATACTTAGTTACTATTCAGATGACCATTTCTGTCTATTGAACACCAATTATCTCCAGATGTCCTAGTTCATAACTTGATAAACTATGTATAAAAAGCCTCTTGTACCAGCTTGGAAATGCAAAATGTCACCAAGCTGAAAAAAACTAAATGTGGTTGTCTTAGAGATACGTGGCTCTCCCATGACAGTTGCAAAGCTACAAACATATGATCTTGTACATTATGATACATTGCCACAGATTACATTGATCAAACATATGTTGTAAGGGAAACTTCTGAAGCAATGGAGAGTCAGGACTCAGAGAGACACGAGGAGAGTTGGAGCTTTGATGTCAAACACTGATGGTTTATTTGGAGTTACGGCCGGAGAGTTGACAAGACAGGTGGTGTGTCACGAGTTGACACAGCGGTTGCCAAACCAATTCTGAAGAACTCTTCTGCAGCTCGAGGTTTTAACTAGTTCGGAGTGTAATAATCAACATTCTTCATCAGTGGGGGTAAACATTATGGACCCTGAATCTAACTAGAGCTCTCGTCCATAGAAAAGAATGTGCGCCAGGGAACCTACGTCCCTGAACAGTTAACTACCTCATGGCGGCTGCCATAGACTGGCAACAACAATGCGCCCAAGCTGCTCCTCCTTAAAAGAGATAGCAGCAATACCCAAGGCTGTAGACCTATGCGGTGGGAAAGGAGACAGTGAGAGGAGAACATGATGAACTGTGTCAAAGGTTGAATACCTAGGCAAATTATTCCATAACATATGTAAAAGGAATTTGAAAAATGTGCAGAAGGGAAATGCATCCTATTAATGCATCAGTATTATTTAGCGGGAGACATCACATATATTAGTTGAACACTGACGGGGAGCATTTTACTGCACAAACAATAAATACTTTTACTTTAAGTACATTCGACTGATTATACTAAGATTTTGAATGTATGACTTGTAGTATGGTATTTGTAGTACTTTTATTGCAGTAAGGTATAGATGCTTTATTCCACCTCTGCCTACGTCACGTTCTGCAGAGCTGTTACTATTTGGCTCCGCAGCACATGCAGCACACCCCATTTCACACAGTGCAATATGCTGAGTCTGCTAAAGCACCATCTGTTGACTTGTAGCACCTCCTAAACCTGTCCTTTCAGAGAGGGAGGGTTGACCTCCTGCATTGTGAAATACAATTCATCTTATTTTACAGCTCTGTGGACAATATCAAATAATATAACTTATGTTCATTATTCCTTATGACATAAATGCGTTTGATTATTCCTGTCTTTTCCTGTTCCATTAAATGTTAGCTTTCTCTGTTTCTGGGCTTCATTTAAGTATAATTTAAGAATTGAAAAGTAAAGAAAATATTGTGGTCACTAGAGCCTCATTAAACCAGATGTTTGACCAAAAGAAAACCCGGAGCTTCTCATGAAATTGAATGGAGCGTGTGCACATGGGAAATGCAGTTCACCGCTGTGGTTTACCAAGGCCAAATACTTTACATTGAATGCTACACAGATACAATATATGGCAAAACAAGGTAAAACAATGCCATATGCAATCAGGAAGTCAAATAAAATAGGTCAACACAATATTTACAGGTAATTATAAAGCAGGAACTAATGCAGTCTTTAAGTGTTGCACCGCCAGACATCAGAGCAGTTCATTCTGCTGTTAGTGAACTCAATGACCTCTGTTTCTTCAGGTTCACTGTCAGCCTACTGCATAATTGTTGCTTTGCACTCTTGAATTTTTTTCATTTGATCTTTTCTAATTTAAGTACAAACCTTTAGTGACAAAAAAGTCAAACTCAGAGACACACAATTATAAATACAATTAAATGTTTTGGGTATTTTTGGCTTTGGCTTGACACTTGTGCTTGGTTACTTAAAGGCACTTCCTCTGCAGTACACATTATGTGTGGAGTGGGTCACCTGTCTGACAATTCTACACCTCCAGAGAGCCCAGAAATCTTAAGTCAAAGAACAGTCATACATATTTGTCAACAAACAATTAGCAGAGGTGGGAAGTAACTAAGTATATTATCTCAAGTACTGTACTTAAGTACCATTTTGATATACTTGTACTTGAGTATTTCTATTTTATGCTAACTTTGTACTTTTCCTCTGCTACAATTCAGAGGTAAATGGTGTACTTTTACTCCACTACTTGTATTTAATCCCTATAGTTGTATAATCAACACTTAAATCAGACTTTAGTTCCACCTGGAGTAAATTCACAAGCTACCCTGCAGTTTACAAAGTCATTCAAACTAGCTGCACCTTGACCAGCTTTGATAACACTTTAATGCATCAATATTTATAAACGAGTACTTCTCCCACCTCGGACAAATGTGTTAGTTTAATCGACTGATCTATACATCTAAGTTTCTCCAGAAAGAACAATACAAAAGTACCACTTTTACCAGAGATGGGGTCCTAACTTTAGGTCACTTAACATGAAAATGATCAACTCGTCAATAAAAAAATGAATAATGGACAATATCAAAAAATGGACAAAAACGACCTACTAGCGGCAACCGAAGCCTTGGAGAACTTATTTCATAAAAAAACATAGACGTACTATATCCAGACATGTAAACTGAAAACGTACAATTAACACTGACTTTCAAGGTATCATGCCTCAAGTCTTTTACTTCCAGGTTCAAATCGAGCCTCAAATCATTTATTTTGTCAAGTCAAGCTGCAATTCACGAAAACATTGCCTCAAGTCAATTTGAGTCTCAATGATTCATTTCTGAGTATATCATTTATTTTTCTCTGGGCACCCTGAGGGCCTCTCTTCTCCAACTTCTAAGTAAGAAACTTTTGGGAATTTTTCTCCGGTCTGTTAGAGGAACTCAGGGACATTGGTGGGACATTGGTCAATTATTGCAGACTTGTCAAACAGCGTCCATGTTTGTTTGCTTGGACAGAGGTTACGGGTCAGAGATTCCCAACCATGAACAACAAGGTATCACATACACACATGACTTTATTCAACAAAGATAGAGCAACACCAAATGTGTCCATACAGATATTGCACACTGTCAAATACAGTGAGTCATTTTCATCATTTGTAAAAAAAAAAAATGAATTAAATGCTAAGGTCTTGACATAATAACTTTGTTTACTGACATAATAATTATATGAAAATCACGGACAAGTTAATTTTAGCTGAAGAAAAATCTGACTCGATTCCTAGGCGGAATTAAAATAAAAACCCTGAGAAGATACTATACGAATAAATATACAGCTTATTATTATTATTAGTATTCATGTAAAAACATTTGTCATTAGGTTATATATGAGGCAATTAGTTGTATCCCCTTTTTGTCAGCTTTAACTGTATAAAAGGTAAAGCCCTGAGTGAGGCAGCTTCATGTCCTGAGGCGTTTGGTGCGTTGAGGAACTCCTTGAGTGCTCACCCTGTTGTGAGCCAACCCACTGTGACACTGGTGTCCGTGTTCATCGGTCGGCAGCTTGAGATAAAACCACGAAGACATGAATTGGTATCAATGAGGTTGGAAGAATCAAGAAAATGTAGATTGTCTTCTATCTGCAAGTGATATTATTTCATTTGGGTTTATTGAGCATGCTCGGGAGGGGATACAATATATAAGACGCACTTACCTTTCTTTTAATGCTTTCATTCTCCACGTTGGATGTGTTGTGCAACTTTATGCCCAGTGCTTCTTCCAGCTCTGGAAACACAGACACACGTTTGAGAGCTTGTTCACACACAACATGATCTTTCTAAATAATGCAGGGGTCAGAGAGACGACACCACAGAGGAGTCACAGTGACATACCGGTGAGGATTTGGTCGATTTTCTCCACCACCATGTCAGCGTCCTCCGCGCTGAAGCACATGGGGGGCTTGAATTTGAGCACGTTGCGATGAGGTCCGTCGGCACTGAGCAGGATGTACTGTTCCTTCAGCCTGGGGGGGGAAATATGAATTATTCTTCACTCTGTATCCATTTAAACTAAGCAGACTTTCTAACTAATCATAGCAGGAAAAGCGTGCACAGAATGCAGTTGTATTATCCCTCAATAAATTGATAAGCATGAGATACGAGTTTTTCAAAATGTACCTAAGCTGTCACAACTTATGGTGGAACTTTGTGTTTGGGATATGGTCTGTTTGTAAGTTAAACATAATGCAGAGACGGGTTGATTAATAAGCTAGTTATACTGCATTAAACTCTACATTGCAACTCATTTTATTATGTTTGACTATTCATGCAGCTTAATTAAAGACTCCATTGTCTTTATTTGTTGTTATACATTGTTTTCAGGGTTCCTACAGCTTATATTTAAAACTATATAAAACTATTTGAATGACCAAATGTATGCCATCTAGGTCAGCCTGTGGTTAATGTGAGCATTACTTATGCTTCTTTATTATTTAAAAAACGTCTGAAATATATATTTAAGAAATTCTAACACCAATTATGGCATTATTTTAAGATTGATGGATTCAAAACCCTTTAATATGGTT